CTAAGTCTCTTTGGCTCACTAAAGGTGAAGATGATATTGGGTTTCTTTATGCAAAAATTAGAAGCAGACACAACAAAAATTATATAAAGGAAATTCATACGGAGGGAGGGCACTTTACTTATTTCAAAGACATATCTAAAGCCATTGTCAATCATTTCAAAGAATTATACAATCCTCCTACATCTCCCCTTATTTTGCCTTTGGATATTCCTGCTGGTAAGGTGGTGCCTACTCATTTTCATGACATGTTGGTTGCTCCAATCACCTTTGAGGAGGTTCAAATGGCTGTTTTTGACAGTAATGTGTCTTACACTCCGGGTCCTGATGGGTTCTCCTATGCCTTTTATAGGAGATCTTGGCACCTCATTGGACCTCAAGTTTTCAATGCTGTAAATCATTTTTTCATCTCGGGTTCTCTTCCTATTGGTGTCAAGGCCTCTGCTATCACTCTCATCCCTAAGTGCGCTCATGCATCTAATATTCATGACTACCGGCCTATCTCTCTTTGCAATGTGCTTTATAAGATTGTGGCTAAAATTATTGCTGAAAGGCTGAAGAAGGTGCTTCCCTTTGTCATTCATGATAGTCAATCTGGATTTATAGCCCAAAGATGTTCAACGGATAACATTATTCTTGCTGCTGAAATCCTGAGGGATTTCAAGAACCCGAGCAATTCTTTCTGTGCTAAGTTGGATATTAGGAAAGCTTTTGACACTGTCTCGAGAGAATTTTTGATTGCTAGGTTACTTCAGAAAGGCTTTCCGGAAACTTTTGTCTCTTGGATCAAAGGTTGCATTTTTGATGTTTACTTCTCCGTTTGCCTTAATGGTTCTCTTGAGGGGTATTTTAAATCTTCTTCTGGCCTACGTCAAGGTTGCCCACTTTCCCCTTTATTGTTTTGTGTGGTGATGAATGGTTTATCTAATATTTTGCATCGAGATTTTGTGGGGATTACTTGTGCTGACACCTCCATCAACCACCTCATGTATGCTGACGACCTTCTTGTATTTGGTAGAGCTACTACACTTAATGCTGTGACTCTTAAGAATTTCCTTAATTCTTTTGGGTCCCTCACGGGTCTCCATGTTAATGCTGGCAAAAGCTCCATTTTGTTCTCTAGATATGTTTCTGAGAGGGATCAAATTTGTGAGGCTCTTGGTATTGACCAAATTAGCAATTTTTTCACTTACTTGGGGCTCCCCATATCCCACAAAAGGCTTAAAATTTCTCACTTCCAACCACTTCTGAGCAAAATCTTTGCTCTACTTGATGGTTGGAAAAACAAATTTCTTTCTTTTGCAGGACGTGTTCAATTTCTCAAATTCACCATTTCTAGTACCATAGCTTATTGGATTAGAGGATCTATCATACCAAAGTCTTGTTGTGCCACTATCAATAAGCTTTGCTCAAGATTTCTATTTCACAGTAACATTCAAGAGCGAAAACTTCACCTCATTGCCTGGTCTAAAGTTACCTTGCCTAAGTCCAATGGTGGGCTTGGTATTCCTTCCATTGAGAGTTTATATCATGGTGTTTGTTGTTCTATCATTGGTAGATTTTATAATTCTCCAAATCATTTGAGTAATTGGTATAAAGAAAGGTTCCTATCTCCCTGGAAACCACCTTTGCCTGCTGCTTCTAAGTTCTGGAAAAAAATTTGTTACACTGCGACACTAATCACTGATGTGGTTTCCTTCTCTGTTTCTCATTCAAGCAACATTTCATTCTTTTGGGACCCGTGGCTTGATGGTATGATTCTGGCAGAACACTTTTGTGTTTCTGATGCTAATGGCTTGATGCTTAAAGATTTATTATATTCTGGTTCCTGGATTTTGCCTAGTAATACCCCTATTTCTATTTCTTTTTCTATTGCTGCTGCTGTTATTGGGGAGAATTCTGGGATTTTGTGGAATGGGTCTCCAAACTGGGTGTTCAAATCTTTTACTGAGCAATTTCATTTGATGTCTCCTAATGTTGATTGGTGCAGTTCGATTTGGTTTAAAAAACACTCTCTTAAGTATGCGTGCTTCTCTTGGATGGCTTTGCTTGGGAAGCTTAAAACGGCTGATAACTTGATCTTTAGGGGAATTCAGGTTGACCCTATGTGCTCCCTGTGCCTGGGCATGACTGAGAATCACAACCATTTGTTTTTTAGTTGTGATTTCTCTTTTAATATTCTCAAATATATCTTACCTGATTTTACTAGCTTTTTGTTGAGGCCTACTAACTTAGCTCAGGTTTTTGAGTATATTAGTCAAGCTGAAAATTTTAATAGTGTGGAGAAGGATTTTCGTCACTTAACTGTTAGCTGTATTTTATACCATGTTTGGCGAGAAAGAAATAGTCGTTGTTTTTCCTCTTTGCGCACCAATTCGGTTAGTCTCATTTGCAAGATCTCTGCTGGCATTCGATTAAAAATTTCTACATGGAAGAGCAAAGACAATATTTTACAAAGGTTCTCTGGAATTTGATTATTGGTGTTTTTGGTGATTTATTGTTTTCGGTTCCTGTTCTTCTTGGAACCATTTCTGGGGGTTTGGTTACTGCTTCTTACTGCTACTCCCTTCTTACTGCTGGGAGTGGTTTTTTCATGTTTTGGGAGCACTGGATGCTTCTTTTTTGGTGGCTCGTTTATTTCAGACCTGGGAAGAACTTTTTGGGGACTGTGGTTTTTGCTTCCTTGCCCAGTCCAGTTCATTTTTTGAAGAACATGGAGCTCATTTCTTGGGTTTACATCACTGGCAAACTTTGTATTCTGGGCTGTTTCAGAAGCGGTTAATTTTGCAACTGGACGATGATGAGCAAGACCAGTGCATTAATGGGTGCCTTGGAGGGTCTGTTTTGGCAACCAGGCATTTCCATTTTGGCGGCTATTGGCTCTGTGATGGCCCTTCTCAGGTTCTGTAGACTGTGCCTTCTTCTGTTTCATCTGGCAACCGGAGCACAGCCTGGCTTCTCGAGACTACTATCTGATTTTCATGTGGACTGCGTCTGGTCTTTTGATATCTGAGTCCGTTTTGGTTGTAATTCCCGCCTGTAACAGTCTAGGATAGTTTGCCTACTGTTCTTGTAATTTTATTTTCATGTTTTATTCTTCCTTTCTGGTTCTTGTAATTGTTTCTGTTTTTTGACTTAATACATGGGCTAAGGCCCCGGGTTTACCCAAAAAAAAAAAGATTCTACCTTGAGAAGATGGATCCACAAGAAGACGAAGACACCAGCTTCTTTGCCCTTCGGCCTCGCCTACTTGGATAAACGAAGACTCCCATCCTTTGGCCTCTCCTGCTCGCATAAATGAAGACTCATTCGGCCTTGCCTGCTCGTGTAAACGAAGACGATGCAACCGATCGCCGGAACGAAGATGATATGAAACTTGCCTGCTCATGGAAAGAAACCCTAGCCTGGATACTGCGAATACGCAAGGATACGTGAGGGATAACCCATACACATGCGGTCCGGTCCGTCTCGTTTTTTTTATGGAAAGATTTTTTTCATTAAATGTTTTTAAATAATTAGGACACGCATGTCCATTTAAATTTAAATATTATTTTAATTGGAAACATTTCGGCTATTTCCTACATGTGTCCCAGCCATGTTGGGCGCATGCCCGTGTTCGACATTGCTTTTTTTCATAAATAGGCGTGTTGGTGCATCATAGAATGTCAACAATAATATTTTTTGTGGACTTTTTGATCTGTGGCTCACCCTCCACAAAAGAAAATGATCAAATAGATAACAAATGATTTCTTAAAGATAACTCTTCCAATTTTTACTATATTATGTCAACGCCTATCCCAATTATGTGGAAGATCATCATTTATAATCGATGATATTAATGGAATCATTTCAATTGGACCAGACCCCAAGATTTTTCCTTTTTTTTTTAAAAATTTTTTATACAAAAACTCTGACGTCGCTTAAAAGCATTTTTTATAGGCTTGTTTTAGATTTTTGTATAATGTTAAGATAATAAACTATGTTTCTATGTGAGTATTCTAGCATGCAACGACTAGTATAATGAAGTGAAATTACAATTAGGATGTTCTAGTCTAACTATGCAAATTATGCTGGATATTCATGGTGTTTGATTTCATTTGTATTAGTGTATTGTCTTTTGTGTTTATGTTATTCACTTCTGTATGCGTTTTCACCTTGAAGTTAGGTGTTTTTACAAACACACACAAACATATGTTTATGCTAAAACAAAATTAGAAAAGATGGATGTATTTATCTCATTTTAATTGCACTTTTTATGATTGGTACTTCTATAATAAGTTGTAGGTAAGACAACTTTTCTGTGACAGTTGAATACAAACTTGATGAAGTGAAAGAACGGTTGTGTTCTAGCTTATCTCATAAATTTTGGTTTCTTCTTATGATGTTTGATCTTATTGGTATTAGTGTATTTCTTTATGCATTTATCATATTCACTCTTTTTAGGTGCCTTCTCATTAATGTTAAGGTGTTTTTCAAACATATGTTTACGTGAACACAATTATAAAAGATGTATGCGTTTAATCCTTTTTGAATTTTTTTTTGTTCATTACTTACACTTCTCTAAGAAACAGGTAGGCAATTTTCTGAAAATATGTTCCATACTTAATTTCTAATGCACAAAACTGTATATTTGTTTGGGCCTGTTTGATTACTTGCAGATGAAAAACATATTTTGTTAAGGTTAAGATTTTTTTTACACATTTGAATGTGAAATTGAAATCATCACCCATAAGACTTTTGAAGAGATCTGTGGAGTTTGAGATCATTATTAATGTTATTTGCATCCAACCAAATGATTTATTTTACCAACTTTATGATTTTTTTTTAAATTTCTAACTTGCCGCAACCAAATGAACCCTAAAAGAAAATGATATTTGTTTTCATAGTTTTAGTTACCTTGTTAATTAATGTTCGGGAACACATGTTTTTTCTTAGTTTTTTCATCCCTACCGTCATATTTACAAATTGCCGCTGATCTTAGGTGTTTGTTCTGTGGTTCGCAGGCTACACATGGTATATCCAGTGTGCAACATATTCAAGCTACTTTTATGCGCAGTATGTCAGGTTGAGATGAAACCTGGTGAGGGTATTTCGGTACATGCTTGTTCATCAAAATCAGCAAAAGTTCGTCCCTGGGATGGCCCATTGCTTTGCCGTGACTGCCAGGTTAAGAAAGAAGCTATGGAAGGAAAAAAACCTTCAAGAGGTACACAAGTTTTCACACGACTTTCTCCAACTTAAATTAAAGGTTTTTTGTTTATTTCTTATCAATGTAGTTTATCTCGATCTATTAGTTAGGTGTTTTGACTATCAACCCTAAACCCTAATTTATCTTAATTGACCTAAATACGTTTTTGTTTTAAAATATTTAGATCTTTCCAGGATGAGAGTTTGACATAAAAAACCCATCTCCATCAGCAGTTTCGGTGTTGTTCCATTTGTAGATTAATTCAAGTAATTCTGAGTTTGCAATTTCGTGATCAAAGATGTCCCTCCCCTACTACTATGTATTCTTCCATGTATAAGTAGCACGGGGATTTCATCAGAATAGGCATTTCGTTGAAATTGTAATTCAGAGGAGTCACGAAGGCAGGATGCCAGCTTTACATTTCTTCAATCCCATGGCTTCTTCGGTCTATCGGACCAGAAATATTTTTCTGCAAAGCAGAGCTATTCTGGTGCCGAGATATAGAGGGGGCCGTAGATAATTCAATTCATTGTAGGTTTGCCATGTACATATTCTTTTAGATGGAAATTGATATTGGAATTTTTGGCGTGTAACAAACCAGAAATGGAAGTGAAAAACTGCTTGGATTATTATCGTTTTTTCCCTCACATGAGAATTCTTATATTTTCTGGTGTTATCGGAAGGGAAGCATCAATAGAATTTACTGAGGTTATGCCCCTTTCGTAATGAACCTTTTCTGTACTAACTAATAGAAGTGTCAAGCAGCATTGCTACTAAAGTAATGATGTATAGTTTGTTCTTCTTTTCGTTGAGTCCAAGCAGTATTGTAGTTCGTGTATATCAATTTCATGTATTTCATTAGACAATTATATTCATTCATTCCTGTGTGTAATAACGACTTGATTTTTTTTTTTCTTTCGAGCTTTACAAATTAGAAGTGCTTCTCATAACGTTGAGGTTATTTCGTGGTAAAATTTCTCCCATGTGGTTAGGTTGATGTACGATGGGTACTCTTAGATCACCTGTTTTGTTGGTATTATTTTTTATCTGCTTCATCATATTTGGATGGATAGATATTGTTCATACATCATGCAAAAGAAAAAAAAAAAAAAATTCCTTGTGTTAAACTCAAATTTGATTATTTTTGAACCTTGCACCAATCAAATAAATAAATAAAAAAAAAGCTAGCCTTATCATGTATTTCTCTCTCATCTTTGAATTATGGAGAATTTGTAAAGTACCTTATTCACTTTTGTCTATTAATTGAGGGCTTTGGCTATTGAGAGGTCTTGGTTCGAAGCTTGTATATGTAATGTGTGTGCGAGTTTGTCTTAAAGAGTCAAAAATACCTTCCTACCGTGATGAAGAAAAAAAAATTGTGATATTATTGTAAATGAAATAATTAACCAGTAATTTTAAGCTTTGATTATAAAAAGGTTGCTTAAAAATAAATACATTTGCTTGTAATTTAATTTCATGGTTTTATTAATTGGCATTATGATTTATGTTAACAACGTATTAATTATTATTATTATTTTTTTCATTTGAATTTGGATGAATATCATTATGTCGCAAGGATTCAATTTTTAGAAGAATTAAAAATGGTTGGTATGCTCTATAATTTTTAAAATTGAAGAAATATGCGCATCATTTAAAAATATGTTCGAATGTTTATTTAGGGTTAAAATAATCCCACTTTTGACCCTTGAGAATTTATTTAAGCCAACATTGACCAACATTGATACAAAAATGTGTTGAATAAGCATCTAATAAAATTTGGACAAAGCTTGGAACTATGTGCAGGAAAATTTCAGAGCTTATGTGAACTTGGGCCGAGTCTTATCCAAACCACCACGCAAAGGTATTTTTGGGCATAGTTCCAATGATCATAACATAGAGTTTTAATAAAATTTGAGTAGGATTTGAGAAGGCTCTTACATGTAAGAATAAGATTCAATAAGGCTCAATACAACGCATTGCGATTCAATAGTTTGAATAAATCAATCTATAATGTTAATATAGTAGAGAGTGATTACAATAAAGCTTAATGGAAAATTTGGATACTGGGTGCGACCATATCAGCACCAGTGCATCAGATCCTATTAGAACTTCATAGTTAAGCATGTTTGGGTGATAATGGTATTAGAATGGGTGGCCTTTTGGAAAGTCCTCGTGTTGCACCCCTAAGAAAAAAAGAAAAAAAAAGTAAATTTGGATACTCCAGAGAGTCAACTAATATCTGTAACATATAAAAATAATAAGAATATAATAAGAATTACATTATTGGACCATCTTAGTTCAAAAAGTATAATTGATCCAAGCAAAAAAAATTATTATGAAGGCAAAGTACATTTGACCTTATAAGTAACTCAATTAATCTCTACTTCCGCATCAGCTACATTGATGTTGGACCTTATTTTTCTCCTCCTTTAAAGGTCTTTTATTTTTCTTTGAATGATTAATTTTAGGATTCACTAATAAGAGCAACTCCCTTTGCTTCATTTGGAGTCTATCATATGCTTTTTTTTTTTTTTTTGGATATTTATTTTTAGTGCATTCAACTAATAAAGCTTAATGTGCATAGAAATTTAAACATAAGCTATAATAATTGGCACAATGATCTCAAATAGCAACCAACCAATTTCAGGTTAAATTGTTTCTTATTAACCTCCATCACTTTGTATATAAGATCAATGATAATTTTAAAGTAAATACTCCTATATACCATCAATCATTTGCTCCGTCTAATTAGCTTCCACGCCTTGTTTGCATTCTCCCCTATAAAATATCGGAATATTGATACTTGATTTATTTATAAAAATAATTACTTCATCAATATACAACATCATTGTTCTTCAAACATAATCCAAACATGAATCAAACCCTACTAGAATACATTCGGAAATGAATCCAACGATGACCAAATATATTCAATCTACGATTGAACTATATTTGAAGATAAGATTGTACCTTATGTAGACCTAGTTAACATATGTGCTTAGTTAAAACATGCATGATCGCACCTTATTCATCAAATAATGTTCAAACATAGTTCAAGTAACAATCTAACATCAATTTCAAGAACAACGATACTTTCCTCCAACAACCTTGTAGGATAATTTGGCAATGATACCAGAGATATGTGAAGTTGCTGCAATGAGTTGGGCTCAAAGGCATCTCCATCCTCACCGCTAAGCTATACATTCTGAGGCTTTGCTTGAGACGGTTTTTTTATTACTTCTCAAACCAACTTTTTAGTAAAATTTTTTTCCTTTTTGTATTAATAAGCCGCTTTAAGAAGCAACAGAAAAACTGTTCCAAAGGAAGCCTCAGTGTGACTGTAAGTTGAATAACTTTCTCAGAGAATTTCATAAAAGTTAACATCTCATATAAAAAGCAACCTCATAATGAACACAAAATAAAGATAAACCTTTTTTCCTCACGAATAATGCCTGCATATTGAAGTCTCCCCTGACTAGGAGCAAGACATGGGAGCATTTTTTGGATACTTGAAAATTCCCTTAGAAAATCAGGTTAAGTATGTGGCATTTAAGCTAAAAGAAGGAACTGACGCATGAGGGTTCCAATGGATGCAATCCCACCATTGAGATGAGAAGGCTAATGTGAAGAGCTAGCACATAATGAAATAACTATTGCGGGTACATTTTCTTCTATCTAAATAAGACCAAATGCTATACTTTTATTACCAAAGATGCTCTCAAGTAAGCCATTTGGCTAAGGCTGTACAGAATAATTTTATTGCCTTAGCACTTGCATTACAGAGGAAGAAGTGGGAGAAAGAAGAAAGAGTTGTTGTGTGCACTTAAAAAAATATTATAATTTGAATATTTTGTGCCCAAATGATCAAAGATTTATGATCAAAGATTTATGAGAGCTTGAATTTTTTGGGATAACCTTAAAATGACTCTAGTTTGATCATAAGAAATCAATTTAAGTTCATTACCCTTCAAATGATTGTATTAATCTTATGATAAATTCAAAAGCTTTTAAATTTATATTAATATATTTTTTCATAATTTTTTTCATCATTATATAAGTTTGATATGTTTAGTATGATTTTCATATTCATATTTCATGGTAGAAATAATAAAGTGTGGAGCAAAACAATTAATTGCTTAGTTAGACAGCCTTGATTGGTATTTATTAGGGCTTTGTCTTCTGTCTATATCAAGCATAAGGTTAGAGGCAAAGAGCCAAAGAGGAATTTTGAATAATTGACCAGCTTAATCACAAATTTTGTGGACCATAATTTGTATTAGTGGTCTTAATACATAAATCACTACCAAATTAGTACATGCCTTGATTATCAGATCCCTTTCAAATTATTATAGACAATAATGGTCCATGCTCTATCAGTCATGCATATGTGGTGTAGGCTTTGGAATTGACTATTAAAATAGACTAGAATATCCTATTAAATTTTGATTAAGGCTTCATCTGGGATGGCTTTTTTACTGCTTCTTAAATCGGTTTTTTAGTAAAAAAATTTAATTTTGTATTAAAAAGCAGCTTTAAGAAATAAAAAAGCCGTCCCAAACGAAGTTTATGGTAAATTTTAGAGTTATTAAATTTATTTTTTGGATGAATAAACTATATGAATTTTTAATTAAATTTATATTGTATTAATCATAAATTGTTTTAACAGTTTTACAATCTATTATAATTATGTTTTAATTAGAATATTCTAACCCAATTTTTTCCCTTCTTCCAATAGAGTCAGTTATGATTTAAGGTGCATTGGGACATTTTTCTTCTTGCTATCCTAAATTCCATCATTTATATATATGTAATTTGTCAGAAGCACTTGCGATGAGAAGGAGAATAAAATATATTGAAATCTATATGGCTTTTATTGAACGAAAAAAATTCTATTATATTCACATTAGCTTCAGAAAATTTATTTCTTACAATAATTTTACAACTAGTTTTACATGCATTCTATATTGCATGGATTTTACAAATATATAAAATAAAATATATATCTGGCAATAAAAATCATGATATAGTTAGAAATATGTCTTTAACATTAAATAAAACACAAATTTAATGATCTCACAAAAAAAATTAGAACCCTAACTTTAACGGAAAAAAATGATGAAGTTTATGAATAAAATTTAAAATTAAAGTTTGCTAGAGCTAGAAGATGTGATTTACCTTTAAATTTAAAGAGGAATTATAGAAACTGAGCTAAATTTGGGTGACAAAAGTCCATTGGGTGGAAGAAGCCGAAATAAGACTAAGGCTCCGTTTGGGGGCGACATTCCTTTTGCATAAGACGCGCGCGGTAGGGAAGCACTTATTCAATAATCGGAGTTCTCACAAAAATTACTTAAGCAAACTATAACTTGTTTGGTTACATCATTTTTTTACTGCGTATGGAAACGTAAAACCTGACAAAATACATAATTGCTCTCTACTAATCAGTAATTATACCGGAGACGACCCAGACCTTCATAGCTTCTTAAATGCCGATCAACTTCCGAAGGCTCGAATGGACCAAAGTTCCTCTGCGCCAACACCGAATCTTTCTTCTTCCGTAGCACTGGGATAGTTCGAGCTCTTCATACTTCAACCAATGATGGCCAGATGGCATGCAGCCAGGTGCCGACAATCTATTTCCAGTTGTCGAAATCGGATCTCAACTTGCTTAAATTTTGTGTGCAAAACTAAAGTTCCACCTCTACTGTGAGATTTTACTTTGAATTTGCAGCCATGATTCAGCCATGATTCGGGTCGTGGCTGTTAGGAGCCGATTTGCACTTAAAAAGAATAGAGATACTGTAAGGTTTCTCGTATGGGGGAGAGAACGGCCAACGAGGGATTGGAAATGATCAGGGTGGTCGGCGCGTTGGATCGTGTGGAAATGGTGGAGGGAACTGAAATCCGTAAAAGAGAAATGGAGCTGGACGAGGACATGTTGCCCGGGACGTGCAAACGTGGTGGGGTAAAATGGACTTTTGCGTGTGTAAACGGAGCTAGTAGACGGAAGAAGCAATATTCTTTCGCCTTTTCAGATATGCAGAAATACGCCGTTGTAAACAAATGTATTTAATAGAAGTCGTATTACCAAACAATATACCAGCAACCATTTTTACCGATTAGAACCGGCGTAAAAATGCTCTCTCAAATGAGGCCTAAGAGGTTGGATAGAGTAAAAGGAGAAAGGAGGAAAGGAGAGCATGGGAATGCAAAATTAAAAGAATTTTTGGTGGAAGTTCTACTAAAATTAAAAGGTTTTTGGCGCACACACTTACCTCACATCAATACAAATATATTTTGTTCTCATCATGATAGTATTTTGTTATTCTAATCCTATTATCATAATTTGAGTAAGTCACTCATTTTTTATGGCTACACGAAAGATCATCTTCATCAGGGGCGGAACTGTGTAGTGGTGAGGGGGACAATTGCCCCCCCCCCCAGCTATCCTTTTTTTTCACGCAATTTATTTCTCTAAAAATTGAAAAGCCTCTTGACCTCCCGCTATTTTCATTCAATTATGTTATACCAATTACTCCCGTACGTCATATAAGTAATTTCTTCAAAATAAAAAAGCAACAAATCATCAACTTAGACTTCATTTAGGATGACTTTCTTACTATTTCTTAAAACAATTTTTTAGTATAAAAATTAAAAATTTTATACTGAAAAATTATTTTAAGAAACAATTATAAAGCCGTCCAAAACAAAAACCTTAATAACGTGAAAAGTAATTCCCACTTATTAATGATGCGATTATGCCAAAAATACATTCCCAAAAAAATTCTAAGCTCCTTTTCAGTAAAGCTCAGCCCACGTGTGCTTGACCGTAAGTGTCAATAAAATGACGAGATAATAAGTCAAAAAGGTATGTAGCATGTTATTCAGGTCCATACCCAATCACATTATTCTCGTTCTTCTGATAAGAGAAAGCCATTTAACTTGCAGAAAATCCAAGTGGCCAATGTAGCTGCTAAGGCTCTCTCCACTCAGATATCAGCCCACCTCACCAAATGAACTGTACAAAAATAAGAGTAAAAAAAGAGAGTGAGGTAGGCCATCGCAATCTTCTCTTTCACTATTGAACTGAAGGACGTTATTGCTCTTACATCGCAGTATTTGCCAGCATGCAAGAAATACAAGGCACGTCGGTCCAAAATGGGCCGACTATGGGTCTATTAGAGTAGCCCGGCAATTTGGCCTGTTGCAAATATTTAGGGGAAAAATATTGCTTGGGATCTTTTGAATTAAATAGTGATTGTGAATATGATTCTATATGGACTGCTGCATGTCCTCATCTGCCTATCTTTATGTGGGATTTAGAATATTTTCAACAATGCTGGTAATTGCACGAGTATTAATAATTGAGACAAGTTAGTGGCCCCAAATTGATTTTGCTGCGTAAATGTACTATATGGACAGAAAAAAAAATCAAACCTCTTAATAAACCAGTTTAATTGATTGCTGGAAACTATTGAACTTCATACTATATGAACATTGCAGGGAAATTGTTCATTATTGACGGCGATTTCTGACGGTAAATGTCAATTTGAAAAATTCCAGCGGTTTTAAAACCATCGGAATAAACAGCATAGAAAATCGAAAACATTTATCTAGAATAAACTTTAAAACAACATTATGAATAAAAAAAAAAAAGAAGATGCATGGAGATCACCTTCGGCTAAGGTAGGCGGGCGGGCATAAATCGGCTAGGTCAAGGTCGGCTATCATGAAATTGATAAAAAAAAATATATAAATAATTAACAAACTATCATGAAATCTTTTATTCCATTCAATACATAAAATATACTCGCACATTATTTTGGGCAAAATGCTATACTGATTGGAAAGATGAATGCCAAATAACAATTGGAAAGCTCTATAAATGTCCCAAATTTTTAAGGAGCATAATTAACTTTTAATTAAGCCGTTGTAAAATAATTAGAATAAAATTTAAGGAGTAAAATGTAAAATGGTTTTACATATTCGTCCAAAAATATAAAAAAAAAATTTAGACATTAAAAAATAAGGCAGAATACTCAAAATATTTTTCTCATATTCATCATAATACACAAAATTATTTAACGTATTCAGCTCGAATTCCTTAATTCGGGTCAAATTCGTTAGTTCAAACTTCAACGCAATTTCCACATTTATAAGTTTGGGCTGCTTACAAATGTGAGAGTGTATAAATTTGAGCTGTTTGTATAAATTTCACATTCTCATTTGTTATAGATTGCGTATTCAACCTGAGAATTTCCACAAACTCAAAAGGCTTAGCAAGCGACCTAATCTCATCCTCAGAAATAAGTAAAGCCGGCAAACCATGATGAGAAGAAAAACTCAGATCAGGAAAAGCAGAAGAAGAGAAACCAGAAACCGCGTCCTTAAAGGAAATAGGAGCCTTACTACCGGATAGAAAACCAGGATCACGCGGAGGAGAAGCCGCCATCCGAAGGTAAGAGACGAGATCTCACCAGACGACGGAGGGGCGGTGGAAACGAAACCCTAGCAGAGAAAAAAACATATCGAAGAGCTCATTTCATTATTTGTTTGTTAAGATTTGCAAATACTTGAATTTAGACTTTGTTTGCAGTGCCTTGCATTGGGTAGTCATTCTCACACTAACTCATACCCAATGGGTATGGGCACGCCCATGACCCCGGGAGTGGTATAGGTGTATGGTCAATATTGGGGGATAAATCAATTTACATTGCTAATCACCGTACGTTATATATTACCACAATCCTCATTACGTAGTGCACAATATTGAACCGCGTTATGACCACGGTAAATTTTGACATGCAGCCTGAAAGTTTGCAATCAAAGCAAAGGGTAACAAGCCTCGGGGTCATCAATCCGTAACAGATTGCCTTCAAAAAGAGTAAAAATTGGGTGAGTATGGATGGGTACAACATCCCAAAAGTCACCATAGATAAGCGTGGGTGGATACCCAATCAGAGCCCCATGTAGGGCTTTGTTTGTTTTGGACAACTATTTTATTATTTTCCAAAGAAATTTTTTGATTGTTAAAGAAAAATTATATACTAAAAAACAACTTAAAAAAAAATTGTCTCAAATAAAATTTTAATAATTTTACTATTTATTTAGTTGGCCTACCCCAATAATTAAGTCAATAATTATAATACATTGATTCTATTCCTTTCATGATAATTGTGCAAGATTAAAAAAAATGATGGATTTATAACTTTCTTTATAATCTTAAAGCAAATTTATTGTTTTCAAATTCATCTTAAAATAAATTATATCACAATTTCTTAAATAATTTTTATCTTTTCAAAAATCTCCTGCTAATCATTGCTTACAAAAGCCCATCGAAGAATTGAAGTACTCTCTAGCCCCCTCCATCATCCTCCCTTCTCCTGAGACTCAAAATAGTTATCTTGACCGACCGGCCGTCATGTTCAACGAAAACGAAATAAACCAAAAGGAAAATGAAGCCTGCAACGCTAAATCGTCGCCACCACCAGCAGAAGCTTCTCCTCCCCCCCTAAGCCCATCTCCTTCCCATGAATTCTCCTTCACAATCTCCCTCAACCATCACAATTGCACCTCAGCTCCTTACCAACCCGACCTCGTCCCCGCCGACGACATCTTCTTCCTCGGTCACCTCCTCCCACTTGAAAAATTACAAAATACAAAGCCCGGTGAAGGTTATAATACCTCCAGCAATACTAAAAGCAAGCACAAACCTTCGTTCTCTTCTTTGCTTGGTCTCACCAAGTGGCTCAGGAGGAGCGACGACGAGAAAGGGGAAAGTAAGAAGAAGAAGAACAAGAAGTCATTGGACTTGCGTTGTTGTTGGCAGAAGGTGGGTCCCTCTGTATCTTTTAAATGGGAGAAAGAGAAAGGGGATCTAAGGCGGCGGCCCTGCTCGTTCTCTGGGAAGGCCAATGACTCTCGAGAAGGTTCGGCGAGGTGGCGGTGGCGAGGGGAGTTCTCGGCACCGGCGTCGATGTGGACATCGCCGACCAATAGCGGTATCAATGTGGCGTCGTCCGCCGCCACAACCGCCGCCTCGGACGAGAGCACGATGGTGGAACTCCAGAACGCTGTTCAAGCCGCCATAGCACACTGCAAGAACTCAATTGCTGTAAAGGAGGAAATTTTAACTTGAAGCTAAAACTCTATATGGAATTCTTCATCTTCATTGACTGATTGATTCATGCATGGAGAGATTTATACAATGGAGTTAAAAGAATTTCTCAGGGAGTTTTATGTAAGGAATTACTTATGTGATTTCTAATTCAGCTTAGCTAATAAGATCTTGATTTTCTCTTTCTCTCTATCTTTAAATTTGGAATGAAAATCTTCAAGATATTATTGTTAAAATAACTATCATTATTGGTCCAAATTAATTGACCATTTTCGATTTTATTCAACATTTAAAATGACCGTTGGAAACTGAGTTTAAGACTCCTTTTGAGTAGTGTAAAGGTTGGAAATGAGTTTAAGATATGTACGTGTATGAGGATGTCCGTGTGGAGTAAGAATTTTTAATCCACAAGAGAAAAAGTTAGACCCAATAACTTAGTGAATATTTTATTGGATATGCTGAAAAGTCTAAATATTATAGATTTTATTGTCCATCTAATAACACTAGATTTCAGAATCAAGAAATACAAAATTTCTTGAGAATAATTTAATTTGTGGGAGTGATCAATTACAAAGCTTAGTTCATGAAAAGAAATATATAGATACACAAACTTTCATTTTAAGTGGCAGGTTGATTTTTACCCATAACATTCTTAAAATCTAAATGGGTATTATAAAAACATTAATATAAATTTCACAAGTTGCTAATAAACCAGTAGATATAGTTGAACAACGAACTCCACAAGAGAAGAATAATTAGGGGAAGACAATCAACAATTCCTAGTGACTATATTGTATATCTTCAAGAGTTGGACTATAATATTGGAGCTAAAAATGATCCTAAAATGTTTTCACAAGCCATTAGTTATAAAGAATCTGATTTATCATATGATATAATGAAAGATGAGTTGAATTCAATGGCATATAACGAAGTCTGGGATCTTATTAAGTTGCCTAATAATGCAAAAGTCATAGGGTGTAAATGCATCTTTAAGACAAAAATAGACTCATAGGCAACATTAAAAGAAATAAAACAAGACTTATTGCTAAAGATTTCACTCAATAAGAAGGGATTGATTACAAAGAGATTTTTTCTCTTGTATCTAAAAAGATTCCTTCATAATTATCATGGCCCATATTGGACATTTTGATTACTAGAGGAAGATGTTTACATAAAACAACCACAAGGATTTTCCTCTAGTGAAGGTGAGCATTTAGTGTACAAGCTTAAGAAGTCTATATATGGATTGAAACAAGCCTCTCGTTAATGGTATTTAAAATTCCATGATGTAATCTATTCAATGGTTTTGTAGAAAATACCATGGTATACCAGAAGATTAGTGGGAGCAAAATTCATTTTATAATTCTATATGTAGATGATATTTTACTTGCAACTAATTATAAAGTTATATTACGTGAGGTGAAATAAATTCTCTCTCAAAATTTTGATATGAACGATATGGGTGATGCCCTTACGTATTGTCATTAAAATATAAAGACATATAATTCAAGGTATTTTAGATTTATCTTAAGAAACCTATATCAATAAAGTTTTGGAGAGATTTAGGATTAAAGATTGTTCACCAAGCATAGGTTCCATTATTAAAGGGGATAGATTCAATTTGAGTCAATGCCCGAAAAATGATTGTGAAAGGGAGGATATGAGAAATATTTCATACGCTTCAGTTGTTGGTAGCCTAATGTATGCTCATGTTTGCACAAGACTTGACATAGCATTTGTGGTAGGGATGTTAAGAAAATATCAGAGTAATCCAGGCATGTACCACTGGCGTGCTATAAAGAAAGTGTTAAGGTATCTCCAAGGTACCAAATATTACATGCTTATGTATAGGCAGATTGATAGTTTTGAAGTAACTAGCAAGTAACTAGCTATTCAGATTCTGACATTGTTGGCTGTGTTGATTCCCTAAAATCAACTTCAGGGTACATATTTATGTTTGCCGATGGAGCCGTGTCTTGGAGGAGTGCCAAGCAGACTTTGACTGCAACTTCCATTATGGTGGCGAGTTTGGGTCTTTTTTTGAGGCCAAATAGCATGGTGTATGATTGAAGAGTTTTATATTTGGGCTAAAACTTGTAGATTCAATATCTAGATCATTGAAGATACATTGTGATAATTCAACTACAGTGTTTTTGACTAAGAATAATAAAAGCACAGTCGAAGCAATCATGTTGACATTAAATACTTAGCCATAACATAACGTATTAAGGAGAATATAGTGATTATTGAATACATAAGCACTGAATTGTTGATAGTAGATCCTTTAACTAAAGGCATGCTACCATAGAAATTTAAGGATCATGTGGATCATATGGGTCTTGGTTACTTTAGTTAATTTCATTGTAAAATGAATATAGTTATGATATTTTTCATGTTTTAGTTATTTATGAGTGCACATTTATATAATGATAAACATATTTAAGTTGGACCTAGAATAAACATAAGGTTTTTTCATTAAGTTAAATTAACAAATATATAGGAGACATAATTATTGTGATGTATGGGAGATAATACTTGCACTTAGAGGACCTCTCACCATAATTCATGATTTTTGTTTTTTATTTTATTTGTGATGGAATATTTGGACCAAGTGGGAGATTGTTAAAATAACTATCATTAATGGTCCAAATTACTTGACATGTTTCAGTTTAATTCAATATTTAAAATGGTCGTTATTCAATTTTAAATTCAGAAGCTTTTATTTATTTCTATAATGAGTAGAAATTAATTCAGAATCTGTATATATTTTGGGCCCCTAAGTCTTTCTCTCTAATAACTTCTAAGAAGAAACCTACACCATCATTTTGTGAGAGAAAAGGTTTAGAAGATTTCAAAATTAGTGAAGAATGCAATCAAATATCAATGACCGGAGGTATGTAAAATATGTTTATAATTTAGCATCCACATCTTTGTTTAGCTAATTCTATATTTTATAAATTTATCTCGAATTAGAATATTGTTTATTTTTCGGATGGGTTAATTTTAGGAAAAAAAAAAGGACATCAAGATCAAAACTAAAGGGCGTCAATATGGTCTTACAAATTAATTATGTATTAAAAAAAAATCAATTTTTTAATTTTAAAATTAAAATGAAGAAAAATATCCTATTTTTTGGATTTTATATATTCATAATGTGTTATACAATAAAAAATTAAACTATTAAACAATTCAACTAAATTTAAGGCATCAATATTTTTAAACTATTACTCATTCACATTAGCATAAATGAGAGAAACAAAGCGAGATTAAATATTTGGAAGAATTTCCATTAGTGTCTATAGGAGTACGTGAAATATTATGAAAAAAAAATTCTTAATTGAGAAGATTGACATAAGATAAATACAACTAAATTATTAGATATTGACAAGGAGATAATGGTTGAACTGTATATGATAGTTAGAAGATGTTAGTTAAATGATAGAAAATAAGGTAATGGTGATTAGGTGCTGATGGTAATTGTTTGCTTCGTACGTTTGGTAGAGCTATAGAGTTCTTCAAAGTTTTGAGCTCTCTTTAATTTCGAGTCTAAGGCCCCTCACATGTGGAGAATGTGAGCCTATTTATAGTTTTTGAGAGTGCTATTTTAATAAATGACGATCATGTGGCCTGTGTTGGTATCTTTAATCATAGATAATTCTTTTATCATTGATGCGCCTTAATGATTTCAGAATTAGATGATATTGGGTTATTTAGTTTCTTCTCTTTGAGATGCTCATTTTGATTATAAGCATGAAAAATCAAAGACCATTTAATCCTTTAATCAAAGATTATTTAGACTTATTGAGACTCGGATCAAATTATTTTTAATATCTTTGAATTTTGTGTTTTTGAGATTCTTAAATATTAGCATCTTTCACCACAGTCATCATCAAAGTTCTTCCACAATATGTATTCATAAATATTCCATCCACACTTACTAATGCATAGTATATACTTTTGAAGCCTCTAATATAAGGCACAAGGAGAAGTAGTTGAATTTAAAGTATGCTGAAGCATCAAATTAACAAGACTAAATTTTCTCATAAGGTAAGTAAATATCATAGTTCCTCTCCACATATTATTGAGAGTTTGGTGTTGAATGAATATCCATATTATATTGAAGAATAAAATAATATCATAATCTATAAATATCTTCGTTAGAGGAGCTGATTTTATGGATTGTCTCCATCAAGGTGGAATATCACATATGGCTTCATACCAAAATGCTTATTATCATTCTTGATAAGCTTGTCTATGAGATCTATAAAATCTTCAAGAAAAATACTTCTTTGAAGCATCAATCATTTGTTTTATTTATCAATAATGTCCAACCGAATTAGCTATTTTTTTTTCATTCTGTTTAATACAACAAAAGAATATTAATACTTAATTCACCTTAATTAGAAGATAATTGATCAGGAGACACACACAATTCAAAATGTCATATCATCAAATAGGGTTCCAACCATTTTTGAACTAAATTTGATCATTGTTCGTTTTTTTTTTTTTTTGACGTTTATTTTTTTTTTCATCCAATAAAAGGGGATTACAACCCAATTAAAGGGAGAAAAACACAAAAATACAAAGATATAATCTATAAATCAAGCCAAATAACAACCGGTCTCAAGAAATGGCGCATGAACCTTCGTACAATCAACTAGAAGCTAGGCAAGGACCATCCATTGGAGGCAACAAGTACATACCAAACAACATCCCACATCCTAAACTAAGGCCACCAATCAGAAAAAGAAAAGGGACCACAAGGTTTCCATCTAGCCAAGGCCATCTAGTGGATGAGCAGAAGGCCGCCTCATCATTGACCAGACGAGAAAATTAGAGTTCACCATAAAAAAATACAGCAGCCAACATAACACAAAAATCGGAGAGGAGGCCCTAACAACAAAGCACATTGAACAATAACATCAATTACTTCTTTTTCGATTTCTGTCTAGAACATTTGGCAGTATCATGGAATAGGACTTTTTGAGTAGAACGACTTACATTCAAACTATACTCATGAAAAGCATATTCCGACTCATCCAATTTCTCGCTAGCATCCATGCAAGGCGAGGAGCAAAACCCATCCAACCAATCAGAATGATCCACATGACTAAATGTGAATTTGGAAGCCAATTGAGATTTCACCTCATCGGAAGAGATAAGCACAATTGGAACATCCACAAACGTCACATTAAATTAGATTTGAATATTTTTTTGAACAA